AAGGATTCACCAGAGACAGAGTGGGGAACAGAACAGGCAGATTGAAATACACTGCTGAGGGGAGCAGACGGCGAGACAGGAGACGCCTGCTACACCATGTGGGCAGCTCCCTGGCAGGGGATCAAACACGCACTGCGGATAGCTTCTCTTAATCCCTTGTGCCACAAGGAAGGCCCAGAGTGATCTAGTTTTAGATCCCCATCCCTATAATCAGCCTTCTTCTGCTACTTCCTACTGAATGCCTTAGCTTGAATCTGTTCTGCCCTCCAAAACACAGCCTGAGTTTAGAACTTACAATGTGGATAGTTTGTTTGGTAGAAGGGAGTGGGAAGACTGACACAGTCAGCAAGAAAATTCAACAAAGGGTACTCTGACATCTGTCCCGTATGGCAGAAGGTTGCCTTTGCATTCCCAGGTCCTGTGGGTGGAAAAATCTTCAGAGGCTTAGGGGAAAGACCTGAAGGAAAAAAAAAAAAAGTAGCAAAGAAACTCACATAAGCACCTGAAATGAGATACTGGCAGTATAAACAGAGCCATCTACAATAGCTGGGGCTAAATCAGAGGTGGATTGATCAGATGTAACTCAAAATTCCAAAAGTATCTACTATAACTTCCCTGCTCCTAGGGGATCAGAAATCTGCTTCTATGGGATTCAAATGCCTGGTTCTTGTGGACCTTTGTTCATTCTAGAAATAATAGGATAGTACCTAACAAATGTTAAGTACTTTTCTACACTGAGGAGAGAACAGAACAAAAAAAAAAACCCCTATGGAGTTTACATTTACAGGGGTGGGGGAGGTAAGACTGATGATAAATAAAACATACAGCAGCATTATAAAGTGGTGACAGACACTAGAAAACAAGGGCAGGACAGGGGCATAAGTTGTTTGGGAGGGGCATGCTTTTTTTTTTTTAAGATTTATTTATTTATGCATACCAGAGCTGGGGTACAGGCCAGAGACTGGGGGGAGAGGTGAGAGGATTTACCAGAGACAGAGTGGGGAGCAGAACAGGCAGATCTACTGAAATATACTGCTGAGGGGAGCAGCAAGCCAGACAGGTGAGGTCTGCTGCACCATTTGGGTCAGCAGTGGCTGCGGATAGCTTCATAGTGCTGTGTCTTAACCTCCTGTGTCACCAGGGAGGCCCAGGGCACACTTTCTTAGAGTCATTATGGAAGACCTCACTATAGAGGTCACATTCAAGTAGAGACCTGAAGAAAGTGAAATCAGTAAGACGCTAAGATGGAACAGCTGAGGTATGAGGAAAATCAGAAGAATGTGGAGCCGTAGAAACCAAAGGAAGACAGTGCTGAGAAGAGGAGGAGAGGTTAATGGCTTGAATTGCTGCTGATGGACCAAGAGGAGGATGGACAGTTAGAAAAAAACTATTCAGTCCTATTCAGGACCCCCTTGCAAGAGAAGGCTGAGGAGAGTGGGGAGGGTGGGGGGCTGGCTGAGAAATCAAAAACTGAGCATTAAGAGCTAAGAGGGAAGAATTGGAGACAGTGAACATAAGTAACTTTTTTGGAGTTTAGGTCTAAGAAACAGAGAAAGGCAGCAGCTGGAAGGGAATGTAGGATCAAGAAGGGATTTTTCCCGAGATGGTAGACCTACCAGGATATCTACTCCCATTTCATCTTTCCTCTCACTGTAGATAAATCTACAGACTTTTGACTTCCCTTCACAAGTCCAAAAATATTTTTTTGCAAAGCTGTTCCCCAAAGGGTTTAAAGTTGCAGGAGGTGGAAGTCACAAAGACTCCTTTATTCCTGCTTTCTGCTCTATCACATCCCCCCATCCTGGGGCAATGAGCTTGGCTGCCTCAGTGAGCAGGTGAAATTCCAGAATAGAAAGAACGAAGTCAAATATCTTAAAATACCTTCCTGCCCCATTTAATCCGGGCTCTTTATCCACATGGATGCCTTTCCTTAAGCATGGGGCTCCCTGCCTGCCTGCTGCTGGTCTGGTAGGCACACAATTTTCTTTATCCTAGAACTATTTTTCAAGCAGTTTGGCCAAAACAACATTCCCTAAACTTTAGGCATTTCTTTTTTTTAAAGATTTATTTATTTTTATACAAGAACCAGGGTACAGGCCAGATGCGCAGGAGGGTAAGAGGATTCACCAGAGACAGAGCTGGGAACAGAACAGGCAGACTGACGAAATACACTGCTGAGAGGAGCAGTGGGTGAGACAGGAGAGGTCTGCTGTGCCATGTGGGACTCTCGTGGGCCGGCCGGCTGGGATCAAAGCTGTGCTGCAGAGGCTGCGGACAGCCTCTCAGTGCGACACTCAACTGCCTGCGCCACCAGGGAGGCATTTTTTATGAGTCTTGCTATTTCCCCACACCACATACAGCTTTTACATCATTTTTATTTTTATTTTTATTTTTTTAAAACAAGGACATCCACTTTTTTTTTTTTTTTAAGATTTATTTATTTATTTATACAAGCACTGGGTACAGTCAGAAGCGCGGGAGGGCGAGAGAATTCACCGGAGTCAGAGTGGGGAGCAGAGCAGGCAGAAGGACCGAAGAACACTGCTGAGGGGAGCAGCGGGCGGCAGGAGAGGTCTGCGCGCCATGTGGGACCCTCCTCTGGTGGCCGGGGAGCAGCCGGGGATCGAACCGGCGCTGCAGAGGCTGCGGGCAGCTTCGCAACCCAGCGCTCAATTGCTGCGCCACCGGGAGGCCCTACATCATTTTTAAAAAAGATTTATTTATACAAGAACCAGGGTGCAGACCAGAGGCATGGGAGGGTGAGAGAATTCACCAGAGACAGAGCCGGGAGCAGAACAGGCAAACAACCAAAAACTCTGCCGAGGGGAGTAGCAGGTGAGACAGGAGAGGTCTGCTGCACCAAGTGGGTATCTCCCTGGCTGGCTGGGAATCGAACCTGCGCTTCAAAGACTGCGGTGAGCCTCACAGCGCTACACTCAACCCGCTGCACCACAGGGGAGGCCCTACATCATGTTTTTATGTAAAGCATTTTCCTCCTTTAAAAAAGTATCCATTTATTGTGGAAAAATATACATAAAACGTGACTTTTTTTTAAAGGTTTATTTATTTATTTATAGAAGAACTGGGGCAACGGCCAGAGGTGTGGGGGGTGAGAGGATTCACCAGAGACCAAGTGGGAAACAGAATAGGCAGATTGAGTGAAATATACTGCTGAGCAGAGCAGTATACATCGCCCATAGGACTGGGGCCCATTTCCCTAGGGCCTTGTGCAATTTGTGAGACAAATTGAGAGGAGAGATCTGCTGCACCATGTGGTTATCTCCCTGGGCGGGAATCGAACTCATGCTGCAGTGGCTGTGGACAGCTTCATAGGTTTCGTCTTAATCCCTTGCGCCACCAGGGAGGCCCTAAATGTGCCATTTTGAAGTATATAATTAAGAGGCTTTTTAGTACATTCACAGTGTTGCGCAACCATCACTGCTATATTTCTAAAACATTTTTCATAACCCTAAAGGAAACCTGACACCTGTTAAGTGGTTACTCTCTTCTCCAGAATTCCCCAACCCTTGGTAAGCACCACTTTGCTCTGTTTCTATTGTTTTGCCTCATGTGGATATTTCATATAAGTGGATCCATACAAAGATACAATACACTATCCTTTGTGTGTCTGACTTCTCAGTATGGTTTCTGCAATAGTACCTTCTTTTGATTATTTTCTTGTGTGCTAATTGATTACCTTTTCATTTCCTTTTCTGAATATTTTTATTTTCCTACTTGGTTATTTTAAAAGACTATACCTTGCCACCATCATAACTACCTAAAAAATTTTAATGTATATTAATGTAAGAATTGTTAACGGGTAAGAGTACTACCGAAAAGAAACATTTGGAAGCCTAATAACATGCTTTGTGTCGTTTTGCTGATTCAATAAATTAAGGCATACTTTAGTAGGTCCTAGTCAGCTCCTGAAAGCAAGTTAGGCTGAGGCAGAACACCCACATTGTCTCACAAATTGCACAAGGCCCTAGGGAAATGGGCCCCAGTCCTATGGGCGATGTATGGTGAAATGGCCTGTCCACATTCCATGGGAAAGGTTGTAGATTGTCAGGACCGGTGTCCTCACCTTTGCTGTGAATTCACGTCACTCATAAGTACAACACACTCCCTCTAGCACCTAATATAAAACCTTGTGTGTGTTGTGGGGGGAGTGAGATGGGGAGCAGAAACCAGACTCCCCATGTTCCGGGAGAGAACACCATACCGGTCTAGAACAATCTAATACGTGACACAAAAGAGACACCTAAGGATTTAGGAAAGCTGACCAGGAGGTTAGACACAGTTGATTTGGAGGCAAGTGCTGCTGAACAGAATGACGTCCAGGTCGGCCAAGCCTTCATTTTTCGAGGAAGCAGGGTTGTTGCTTTTTTTAGAGGGCGCAGGAAATACGGATTTTTTAATGTGAAGCTTGTAAATTCTTCAACGTCGGCAACTAAAACAAAATCTTAAACGTGGGCCGAACAAATTCAATCAGTGTACAGGATTAGCTCTGGAGAGTGCTTGTTTGTCAGACAGGCCGTTCATTCTATGCCTCGGAAAAAAGCTTGTAACCGAGAAGCTACTCGCCTAAGGCCCCACAGCCAGCAGGGGAGGCAGAGCTCAAAGCTTCTTTCGGGGGAACAGGCTCCTGGTCGCAAAATACACTCAACCTGAACTTAGACCGAAACCCCGCCCCGCCCGCCTCAGGGCACCCTCCAGACCTGAGCGCCCAGGTTTCGCGGGCTCCCGGACTTCGCCCCTACTCGCTCGGGCCGAGAGGGCCACAGCCTGGCAGCCCTGACCAGGGTGCTGCGGGCTGCTGCCTGAGGCGCTCTCCGCGCTCCCCGCGGGCCGAACACAAGCCTCCCGCCGTCGCCCGACGGCACGCGGCGCGCCCCTCCCTTGAGCTTCCGCGCCGCAGGCCCGCCGCCGCCGCTCCGGACGAACGGACCCCGACGGGCGGCTAGGAGTGAGGTGCGCAGGCGCCGCAGGGTTTTATTACGTCACCGCGACTCCAGAGCGCGCGACTCGATCATGAGCACGCCGCCCGCGCCTTGGCGCCTGCGCATCTTGCCCTGCCAGGTGCGCGCTGCGGGGGGCGGGCTGGCTTCGGTGTCGAGCTCCTTCTCCAGCAGGTGCATGCGCGCCGTGGTCTCGGTCAGCATGTCCATGAGCAGTTCCTGCTGCAGCTTCAGGTAGTTGTTCTCCTCCAGTAGCACCTGGCCCTTGGCCTGCTGCAGCTGTGTCTTCCAGCCCGCTACGGTGGGCGAGCGCCCCGGCTGCCCTTCCGCCCGCCACTGGCCGCGGCGGAACACGAAGGCCTCATCGCTGAGACGCGTGCGCGGTGCGCCGTAGTTGAGGCCCAGCTCGGCCTGGCGCGTCCGGTGGTCCAGCAGGTAGAAGGTGGACATGGAGGAGATGCGGCGCAGCGGCGGGCGCCGTGGAGAAAAGCGCCGCGAGAAGTGGTCGGCCCAGAACTGCCGCAGCTGCTCCCATAGGCGGCAGGCTTGGCCCGAGGCCAGGCACCCGTAGACGTCCAGTGCGAGGGCAGATGGGCCTAGTCGGGCGCTCGGGCGGATTGCGAGCACGCAGGAGATGGGGACTGTGCCCTTGCTTCGGGAGCCCGGGTGTCCTGAATGATGAAGGCGACCCTCGGAAACTGCTGAGGAACAAAGAGTCTAGTGTACTTGCTGGGTATAGGCTGCCCCCTTAAATTGCGAGACTTGGTGGACAAGGCTGAGCCTTGTGACTGACCGTCAGCGCTAACCCTCTGCTGATCACCAAGGAATCTATCCCTGCAAACTCAGACTAGCGGCAGTCTCCCCGGACCTATCTTCCTTAATGATCATCCAGAGTCAGGCCCCGCTCTGAGCACTAGGCGACCTCTGGAAAGGGTTGTGGGCTGCCGGGAGAGGAGGGAAAGATAGCAGAGACAAGTAGATGCTTAGAAGATGCGCAGGACTTTGGCAGGTGAATTGGTGGATAACGGACCGCCTATAGGCAGAGTAAAGAGCCAGGCAAGGCCTGCATGGTCCATATGTGAGTGAAGGGCTTTGGGATAGGGTTGGTGTTGTATACTCAGCTGGGATTAGTGGAAGAGGAAGCTGGGAAAGGGGATCAGGGCACTCTGTAAGGGTGCTGAACAGGCAGGCTTAGAAGTTTTGACTCAGTGGGTCAGAGGGATCTGCTGAAGAATTACAGAACCAGGGCTACATCTGGGTTCTGAAAACAACCTGGTAGGCTGTCTAGCATGAGGACAGCATTACTCTTCTAATCAGTTGTTTTACAGACTTGAACTGGCACCTGCTTTGTGCCAGGTCCCTGATCTGGGCAGGGTTCCTAGCACAGTCTATGCCTTAAAATTCTCCAGTCCAACTGAGAAACCAGATAGGTAGGGATCACTGTCCAGTGTGCTCAGTGACATTCGGGGGACATGTGCCATTGGCTAGGATCTATGCTTGAGATCACGTGTGCAGACTAGACATGACTTCTGTCCCAAACAGAGTACATTCTCAAGGAAATTAAATTCTTTTTAATTTAAAAAGAATTAATTTAAATTTAAATTAATTTAAATTAATTTAATTAAATTAATTTAATTAAATTAAATCCAGTCCCATACCTGCCCCTCCCCAGCCCATTCTGTTGTGTGAGAAAGGGGATTATGTCTTTGTCTTCCTTGGGGGACAAAGAGGGAATGAACTCTGGGGCAGGGTTCTCTCTGTCAAGTCTTCATTAATTTAGCACATGCTAATTCCTCACTAAGAGCATGTGGGCAGATGGTGGATGGTACCCTCCTTTGGGGCAGAAGGCCCCAAAACACGACTGGGTTTACCCTTGAGGTTGCATCTTTCCAGAGGACCCTTCCCCAATGATCCTCATTTTGTACTGTGTCTCACCTGGAGGATGTGTTGCAGGTGCTGAGCTGCTCTTCCAAGCCTGGCCTCATTTCTGAACCTCCCAGCTGCTGTCCATCAGCTGTGACTCACAATGCCTATAGGCTGTGCCAGCACAGGACAGACGGGGAGCTGATAGCTGAGCTATAAAATAGTCTCTGTACTACAGCAAAAGAGACATTAACCAAAACAAAGAGACACCCCACTGGCTGGGAGAAAATTTTGCACACAATACTGAAAAATACACAAAAATCTATAAAGAGCTGACAAGACTCAACAAAAAACAAAATAAATAACCCCGTCAAAAAATAGGCAGAAGAGCTAAAAAGAAACTTCCCCAAAGAGGAAATGCAAATGGCCAATAGGCATATGAAAAAATATTCAACATCACTTGTAATAAGGGAAATGCAAATCAAAACCACAATGAGATACCATCTTACACCAGTAAGAATGGCACATATTAAAAAAAAAAAAGCAACAATAAATGTTAGCAAGTATGTGGAGAAAAAGGAACTCTCCCACACTGCTGGTGGGAATGCGAGCTGGTCCAACCACTATGGAAGGCTGTGTGGAGGTTCCTCAATCTGCTAAAAATGGAGCTTCCATATGATACAGCCATTCCACTCCTAGGTATCTACCCAAAGGACATAAAAACATTAATCCAAAGGACACCTGCACCCCTGTGTTTTTTGCAGCACTATTTACAATAGGTAAGCTATAGACAGCCCAAATGCCCAAAAATAGATGACTGGATCAAGAAGATGTGGTGTATATAAACAATGGAATATTACTCAGCAATCAAAAAGATAAACTCATGCTAGTTGCAGCAAGATATATGGAGCTACAAGGGATCATGCTCAGTGAAATAACCCAGAAAGAAAAAAATATCAGATGGTTTCACTTATAGGAGGAATGTAGAGGATCCAAATAAGGGACCAGGAAAAGAAAAGTAATTATAAAGTAAAGATCAAAATCAACAGACAACTATAAACCAGAGACATTCTGCAGGGGGTGGGGAGAGGGGAATAGGATCAAAATGGGTGGGAACAGCACAGGGGAGAATGGTGGTGGTTCACAGGTGACTATAATCAAGATGAAAATGCATACATTGTGGGCCTCCCTGGTGGTGCAAGGGATTAAGCACAGCACTATGAAGCTATCCGCAGCCTCTGCAACACTAGTTCTATCCCGGGGCTGGCCAGGGAGATACCCACATGATGCAGCAGGCCTCTCCTGTCTCTCCCGCTGCTCCCCTCTGCAATGTTTTCAGTCAGTTTGCCTCTTCTGCTCCCCACTCTGTTTCTGGTGAGTCTTTTCACCCTCCCGCACCTCTAGCCTGTACCCAGTTCTTGTATGCATAAATAAATCTTGAGAAAAAAAAATGTATACATTGTACAAAAGTGAAAAATGATGTAAAAATATGTAAAATAAATTAATAATTAAATAGTCCCTATAGATAGACTCATTGAGTGCCTACTGTGTTTGAAGTGCTCTTTGAAGGAAATGAAGAAAATATTTGCTCATTAAGCTATCATTCTTGGTGAAGAGGGGCTGTCCTAAGTAGAAAACAAGGTAGCCCCTCTGCAGCTAATACAGGATGTTATGGTTAGTTTCCCTAGAAGCAAAGATCAGCATTCTTGTGTGCTTTTTCATTTTCTTTTTAAAATCAAAGAAAGTCACCTTTCATTATTCATATTATGTAAGTTTCAGGTGTGCATCACTGAAGAGAATTCTTGATTCAAATGATTTATTAGGGAAGTGCGTCCAGGAGAAGGGAGAAGCCTCACAGGACAGGGGGAAAAAAATCTATAGCAAGAGTGTGCCATCAAATGAATACTAACTCAAACCCAATCCCACAAGGAACTGGGTAGAAATCACACCACAGAATTAGGTCTTATCACAGGAGAACAGTCATTTGTACCTATGCCCTGTTTCAGTGGATCATTGCCAGGGGTTGCTGTGAGTTATCAACCAACATTTAAGGCACCAATAGGGGAGTGTACCATCAATAAAGTAATCCATGACGTGCCAATAGACTAGAGGAAGGGAGACAATACAAAAAGGAAACAACTAAGTCATGAAGGATTTCTGATAGTGATACCTGAAATGAGGGTATCATAACATAACAGCAACTTTAGACAGAAGGAAGGGCAGGAACTAATTTAAATGTGGTGCTTAGTGAAGGCACTTGACATGCGAAGACCTGATGGATGAGGAGACCCAGCTACATAAATATGGGGGTGGGCTCTCTAGAAGCAGGTAGAAACAGCTTGTTTGAAGGACAAGCACCATGTGTTTAGGCAGAGGAAGGAAGTCAGCCCTCTTTGCCAGACACATCCATTTGATTGCTTTCACCTCTATTTGGCATTCCAGTCCCCAGAAGCCAGATCTTCTGGGGTCTCCCATTTAATGTAGCCTCCCTATGACCCTTCAAAAGGTAGAGCCAGCTCTAGGGGAGTTCACAACTTGTGGGGGAGCCAGTTACAGCATGACTTCATGGGAAACTTTAACAGTTTTGTTATGGTATAATTGATAAACTACTTATTTTTTTAAAATTTATTTCTGCATACAAGAACTGGGGTACAGGCCAGAGATGTGGGGGTGAGAGGATTCACCAGAGACAGAGTGGGGAACAGAACAGGCAGATCCACTGAAATACACTGAGGGGAGCAGCGGGCGAGTCAGGAGAGGTCTGCTGTGCCATGTGGATAGCGCCCTGGCCAGCTGGGGATGGAACTAGTGCTGCAGCGGCTGCGGACAGCTTCATAGTGCTGCGTCTTAAACTCTTGTGCCACCAGGGAGCCCCAGATAAACTACTTATAATATACAACTTGATGTGTTTTGACCATTTCATGTAGGAAATCACCCAAATCAAGATGATGAAGGTAACCATTACCTTCAGATGTTCTGCTTCCATCCCTATAGATTAGTTTGCATTTTCTGTAAATGAAATTATTTAGTATGTACACACACGTGCGCTTCTTGGAGCAAATTATTTTGAGATTCATTCATGTTGTATTAGTAATTCATTCCTTTTCATTAATGAGAAATATTCCATTGTATAGCTATGTCATCCACCAAATTTGATGGGAATGTGAGCCATTTCCAACTTGGGGACTCTTCCATGTTAAGCTGCCATGAACATCTCTGTACAAATCTGGCCATATACTTCCATTTCTCCTGAGCAAACACCTAGGAGTAGAATGACTAAGTCAGGTGTTACGTATATGTTGATCTTTTTGTGATGCTACCTCCCAGTCTTTTTTCCAGAATGGTTACTCTGCATCCCTACAGTAGTGAAGGAGTTTCTATTCTTCCACATATTTACCAACACTTAGTGTAGTAAACCTCTTAAATTTTACTTATTCTACTGGAATAAGTATCTAAATTGTAGTTTTAGTTTTAATTTTTGTAATGGCTAATGATGTGAAGTATCTCTTCATGAGCTAATCTTTACCCTCTTGGTGAAGTTAGTCTTTTGCTCATTTTTTTTTTTTAAACTGGATTGTCTCATTGAATAAGAGTTCTTTAATGCTAGGTAAAACTCCTTTGTTGTATATGTTTTGCAAATATGTACCTTGCCTTTTAGAGAAAAGGTTTCAGTTTTGATAAAATCTAATTTATCAATATTTTTCTTTTGCAGTTTATGTATCTGGTGTCATATTTAAGAATCTTTGCCAAACTGGGAGTTTTATAATTCTTTTTTATAAGATTTATTTATTTATGCATCAAGAGCTAGGGTGTAGGCCAGAGGTGCGGGGGGTGAGAGGATTCACCAGAGACAGAGTGGGAAACAGAACAGGCAGACTGACTGAAATGCACTGCTGAGGGGAGCAGCAGACAAGTCAGGAGAGGTCTGCTGTGCCATGTGGGTAGCTCCCTGGCCGGGGATTGAACTCGTGCTGCAGTAGCTGCGGATTGTTTCATAGTGCTGACATTTAACCCTTTGTACAACCAGGGATGCCTGGGAATTTTATGGTTTTAGCTTTAAAATGTGTACTCCAACTTAGAATAATAGTTAATATTTCTTGAAATGCATATTCTTTTAAATGCTTTTAAAAAACATGTACTCCATTTTGAGCTCATTTTCATTTATAGTGTTATCACATGACCAACGGGGACCCCAGGGTCCCTCAGACTTGCATGCTCTAAAGGGGTCCAGTCATCCATGTGCACAAAGACAAAGCATACATAAAAGAACTGTGCATAGGAAGAGAGAAGAGAAAGGATAATAATTTTCCAATAAAATACCCAAAATTACCCATCTCCTCATGAGTAAATATCCAACCAAAGAAGGTTAGCCTGAAGCAGAGCTGCTGAAGCCTGAAAGCTTGCCACAAGTCTAAGACACCTGCTGAAGGGGCAAAAGGGGCTAGACAAGTCTGGAATGAAAGGAGCAAAATCAAAGTACAAATCAAGGTAACAGCTGCCATTGTCAGCCTCCCAACAGGTCTCTCATCCGTGTGACTCTTCCAGTGTCTCTACATGTCTCTTCTCTGTGTGTCTCCTCCCGTGTCACCCAAGACCCTAACACAAGTCCAACCCTGAGAAGCAAGCATACCCTTCTCCAGTATCTGTCCTCTGTATGTTTCAGAGTCTACCCACCTTGTGAATTAAAACAACAAACCAGTGAAGCAGCACGTTACAAAATCAGTTCACAAAAATCAGTTGCCTTCTTATATGCAAACTAATCAACCTGAAGAGGAGGAAATTAAGAAAACCTCATTTACAATTCTACCAAAAAAATTAAATACCGGGGAATAAACCTAACAAAGGAGCTAAAAGACCTGTACAAGAAAAATTATGAACACTGTAAAATAAATAGAAGGAGACACAAAGAAATGGAAAGACATTCCCTGCTCAAGGATCAACATTATTAAAATAGCCATCCTACCCAAAGGAATTTACATATTCAATGCAATTTCAATTAAAAACTCAATGGCATTCTTTTTCTTTTATTTTATCAGGCTGTTTTATCAGCTTTTTTTTATTGTCCTTTATTATTTTTTTTACATCATTGTTCATTTTTATTTTATTTTTAAAAAATATTTATTTATTTATGCATACATACAAGACCTGGGGTACAGGCCAGAGGTGCTGGAGCGGGGGCAGTGAGAGGATCCACCAGAGACAGAGTGGGGAACAGAACAGGCAGACTGACTGAGGAAATACACTGCTGAGGGGAGCAGCCAAAGAGACAGGAGAGGTCTGCTGCCATGTGGGTTTCTCCCTGGCCAGGCAGGGATTGAACTCCTGCTGCAGAGGCTGCAGATTGCTTCATATGCAGTGCTTAACCCCTTGCGCCACCAGGGAGACCCCACTGTTCATTTTTAAGCAACGTTTGCTTTTTTGTCCCCCCCTCAGGTGTAGTCCCCATAGAATTTCCTCCACAAATACACCCGTGCCCATCACCTTAGTCCCCTGTGCTCCTCCCTACCTTCCTCCTTTCCTGCTCCCTCCTCCTCCCCTGCAGGATGTCTCTGGTTTATAATTGTCTGTTTTTGTTTTGTATTATTATTTTTCTCCCTGATGTCTTATTTGTTTTCCCTATATTCCTCCTATAAGTGAAACCATCTGATATTTTTCTTTTTTTCTGACATTTCACTGAGCATAACTCCTCCTAGCTCCATCAATGTTGCTGCAAATGGCATGAGTTTATCTTTTTTGATAGCTGAATAGTATTCCATTATGTATGTATACCGCATCTTCTTGATCCAGTCATCAATTATTGGGCTGTTGGGTTGATTCCAATTCTTACCTATATAAATAATGTTCCAATAAACAGAGGGGTACAGGTATTCTTCTGAATCAATGTTTTTGTGTCCTTTGGGTAGATCCCTAGGGGTGGAATTGGTGGGTCATATGGTAGCTCCATTTTTAGTAGGCTGAGGAACCTCCAGACAGCTTTCCATTGTAGTTGGACCAATTTGCACTCCCACAAGCAATGTAGGAGTGTTCCTTTTTCACCACATCCTCGCCAACATTTGTTGTTGCTAGTTTTTTGGTATGTGCCATTCTTACTGGTGGAAGGTGGTATCTCATTGTGGTTTTGATTTGCATGTTCCTGATTATAAGAGCTGTTGAACATTTTATCATGTTCCTGTTGGCCATTTGCATTTCCTCTTTGGAAAAGTATCTTTTAAGTTCTTCTGCCCATTTCTTGACTGGATTCTTTACTTTGTTTTTGTTGAGTCATGTGAGTTCTTTGTATACTTTGTGATCAGTCCCTTATCAGTTGAATGGAGTGCAAAGATTTTTTCCCAATCAGTGGAGTGTCTCTGTTTTGGTTAATGTCTCTTTGGCTGTACAGAAGCTTTTCAGTTTGATGTAATCCCAGGTGTTTATCTTTTCCTTGACTTTCTTTGCTTTGGGTCATGAGTCTTTAAAGATGTTACTGAGATGTATGTCTTGTAGTGTTTTACCTATATTTTCTTCTATATATTTTATGGTTTCAGATCTTATGTTAGTTCTTTTATCCATTTTGAGTTGATTTTGTGCATGGTGAGAGGTAGTGGCCTAGTTTCATTCTTTTGCATGTGGTGGTCCAGTTTTCCCAGTACCATTTATTGAACAAACTGTCCTTGCTCCATTGCATATTCTTTGCTCCTTTGTCAAAGATTAGCTGTCCATATTTGTGTGGCTTTATTTTCGGGCTTTCTATTTGGTTTACTCAATGGCATTCTTTAAAAAAAAAAAAAAGATTTATTTATTTATGCATGCATGCAAGAGCTGGGGTACAGGCCAGAGATGTGGGGGGTGAGAAGATTTACCAAAGACAGAGTGGGGAACAGAACAGGCAGACTGCTGAGGGGAGCAGACTGCTGAAATACACTGCTGAGGGGAGCAGCGGGTGAGACAGGAGAGGTCTGCTGCACCATGTGGGTTTCTCTCTGGCTGGCCGGGGATCGAACTTGTGCTGCAGAGGCTGAGGATTGCTTCATAGTGCAGTGCTTAACCCCTTGCAGCACCAGGGAGGCCCTCAATGGCATTCTTTAAGGAAATGGACAAATATTGCTGAAATTCATATGGAATCACAAAAAGCCCAAATGCCCAAAGCTCTCCTCACTAAAAAGGAGAATGGGGGCATTATACTCCCAGATGTCAAACTACTACAAAGCCATAATAATAAAAATAGCATGGGGGCCTCCCCAGTGGCGCAGCTGTTGAGCACTGGATTGTGAAGCTGCCTGCAGCCTCTGCAGCGCTGGTTTGATCCCCAGCCACCGGTCGAGGGTCTCACATGGCGCACAGACCTCTCCTGCTGCCCACTGCTCCCCTCAGCAGTGTACTTCGTCAGTCTGCATGCTCTGCTCTCGGCTCTGGCTCTGGTGAATTCTCTCAACCTCCCACGCTTCTGACTGTACCCAGTGCTTGTATAAATAAATAAATAAATCTAAAAAAAAAATAAAAATAGCATGATATTTTACAAAAACAGACATATAGACCAATGGAATGAAATTGAAAGCCCAGAAATAACACTACACATATACATTCAACTAATGTATGACAGAGGAGCAAAGAATATACACTGGAACAGGGAAAATGTCTCCAATAAATGGTGCTGGGAAAACTGCACTGCCATATGCAAAGGAATGAAGCTAGGCTATTTCACACCATACACAAAAATCAACTCAGAATGAATGAAAGATTATGATGTAAGGTCTGAAAGCATAAAATATATAGCAGAATATAGGCAAAACACTTCATAACATCAACTTCAGAAAGATGGTTGAGAACTCTTATCCAGAAACAAGAAAATCAAAGGAGTATATAAACATCTGTGACTACATCAAACTAAAAAGCTTCTGTACAGCAAAAGAGACAGCAACCAAGCCAAAAAGAGACACCCTACTGGAAAATATTTGCACACCATGTATCTGATAAGGGACTGATAGTGAAGATCTACAAAGAGCTCAT